AGAGTTACGTAACCCTAAATACTAAACTGGTTCCGGGGAGGGGGAATGACCCAATTTGGACGACTGCAACTTGTGCCCCTGCCTGTCATCATCTTTCTGATCCTTGGCACAGGAACTGGTTAAGGGCTTATGATGGCAAAGGAACTAGGTAGGCATATTACAAAACACCAGCACTCGTTGTCATAATTACTATTAGGGGATATAGGTTATATACTGGTCATAACCTGAAGGTTTTAGCCCTAAACCCTAAGCCTAGCGTGTTGAACCTGGTTGAGGATCCTCAAGCCTTGCGTCCAAGTAGCTTCAATCCCACTTGAAGGCTCAGGGGACTTAGTAAGTGCGTTATGAATTTGGTTATAAGTGCCCTAGTGGGGTTAGCCTTCTCATGCATATACGTCCCACAAAACCGCTTAAAGGGAAGAGCAGAACACACCTAAATCCTAAACTTCCAACCTCAAACCCTCAACCAGAAATCTGAAATCTTCAATTCTCAATTCAAAGCTCCAAATCCTAAACCATTAGCCCCAAACTCCAAATCCGAAACACCAACTCCTGAACCCCAAGTCCTAAACCTTTAATCCTAAACTCTCGGAGTTTAGGGCTTAGGGTTTAACCCTCCGCTGACTTTTCTCAAAAATCTCTAGGCCACAGTCAACCTTGCCTCGCCGTAACACGGATCTCTGACTCCGTCGTGTCTTAACAAGAAGAAGAATACTAGTACCACTAGTTATGATATTACTGACAGTAATCATACTATATGACTAATCTAGTAATGATATTGTACTATTGCTAGTACAGTCATGCATAAGATCTCAGCAGAGCTCGGTCAAAGAAAGTCGTCACAACCTAACAGCAACCCTTCGCTGCTGTTGAAGACCTCTTTGGGGGGGTGTCCCTATAATAAGGACTATAGTATATGGGAATCGCTGTATAATAGGGTAATATAAGATTATATTGGGATAATGGAAGAGAATGGAAACCACTATATTTCAATACCCCACCCTAAACCTCAAACCATGATCCGAGACAAGCAAAACTGCAGGCATGAATCCATGATGAGCTTGTTCAGCGTCACGGTATTCCCCAGCACCCTGTGGCCAAAGGCACTTGGCGATTAGACCGCAAAATCCCCCATCTGGATCCAGAGAAGAGTAGATTACGAATTTTTGCCTGTGCTGAAAGATGGTATTAAAACAAGGTTTAGGTGTGTAGGGTTAAGCTCTAGGGAGGAACTGCACAGTTATCTTAAAATCCCATGACTTGGGAGTATCTGGCGGATCATCTAGGGACAAGGTGGATGTTGCTACGCGGCTTACAGGGTATCTAAGCTTGAACTCTTTTACCCACCTCATGCAAAATTGAGAAGGGGGACTGGATTCCTATAAGCCCCCCCCCCAATAAAGTCCAATGAAGACCCATAGCAGTCCCAAACTACAATGCACTCCCAGCTACTGTATCGGGGTCTAAATAATTTGGCCAACGCTAGCAAAAACTCTGATTGCCCAACCCTAACTCATATCCTTACAATACCAAAAGGTTTGTATGGTGCTTCCAGCTAAGGACCAAAGGTCTAGGATATAGCGCACGACTATAGATGTATTAGCGTTGTGGGTAGGGGAAGAATATTTTGTAGCTATCGAGGCTTCTACAGTATGCATGGGCGGCAAGTTTATCAACATATCCCCGCCGGCTTGATGTCCCTAGCTTATCCACCCTTAGCCCTAGACCCCAAAACCACCAAATCGCAACCTTATAAACCCCAAACATCTCCCTCCTCTCAACCCTCGACCCTAGAACCCCTAAACCCTAAACCTCTAAACCGTAAACCCCTGAACCCCTAAATCCCTAAATCCCAAACCCCTGGAACCCCAAGCATCTCCCCCGTCCGGCCTGACCACCTCCTGCACCTCCGGCATGCTGAAGTCCCAGAAGCTGAGATTCCAAACGCCACGCTCCTGCCGAGCTGAATCTGTTTGAGGGATGTAAGGTTATGTAGGGGATAATGGAAATTAAATGGAAACCACTATATATAGGGTTATATAGGGCTGAATCTGTTTGGGGGATGTCGGGTTTATTGGGGTTGCGTAGGGTTATATAGAGATTAAATAGGTGATAGATTTGTGTTATATGGGGTTATATAGGGGTTATATTGGGTTATATAGGGATCATAGAAAAATGGAAACAATTATACTATATAGGGTTATATAGGGGGAGTATTGGGATTATATAGGGTTATATAGGGGATGCTGGAAAAGAAAATGGAAGCTACTGTTTAGGGTTTAGTGTCCAGGGTGTAGGGTTTAGGATAGTCTAAACTCTGAGTATCCCCCTTGATAACCCCTAGAATGCTGCCTTATAGAATTCCCCTTCATAAACTCCCTTTAAGGAGTTTAGACTAGAGCTCATATAGGGTTATATGAGGTATAATGAAAAAGAAACTGGAAGCTACTATTTAGGGTTTAGGGGCTAGGATTTAGAATTGTGGCTTTAGGGTTTCTAAGGTTTATAGGGTTTAGGGATTAGGGAGTTATGGGTTTACGGTTTTGAGGATTCGTTTAGGGCTTGGGACCTCTATGAGACTCATCTGGGGGTGGTTCTTTAGATCCTTTTGGGGTTTAGGGTTTAAAGTGTAGGGGCGCCATTGTGTCTTAAAGGGACCACAAAGGGAAGTTAGCTTATGGCCAATTTGGGGACAGGTGCAGGGTTTAGGGTTTAGGTTGGGGTTGGTTCTTGAGGTTTGGTTCAGGGAGACATCCTTTTAGGGGGCTCCAGATTTTTCGGCTCACTTGATCTGAAATCCCTCCCAAAAGGCAACAATTGCTTTTGGCCCAGCTATATCAAGGGACGGCGCTATGCCGCAACATACCCTAACACACTTGAACCGGAACCCGTGCTCTGTACCCCCTACTTACTTGGTAGAAGAAGCAAGAAGAAGGCTTCCAATTGTTTCAGCCCCTAACTCAGGAAGCCCTACAGGAACTTATGTGAGGGAGCCCCATACTGGAAGCCTCGGTGACCTTGCGGGGTCCTTAGGTATGGAACCGCTTGTAATTGCATGGCGCTTGAGACGTGTCCTGGACTAACGATTCACGTCTGAGCGCTGGTATGGGGGCTTGTAGGGACTGAGGGTTTACCTCGTCTTAGATACTGTCCAGTCATGTAGCCATTCAAGGTAGGTTGTACCGTCAATACACGCCTCGGGGTCTGTGTACAGCTTGTCCACGAAGAACTCGGATCTTAAGGATTTTAGGTGCCAGTTGCACAGATTCTGCTTCTAGTTTTACCAGCAGCAAATCAAAACGACTGTGGTGACGGAGAAGAAAATGCAAAGCGATGCGATGATGGCAGTGTATGGAACGTACTGGAATGATGGGAAACAAAACAGACAGTACGAACAAGATGCAAAGGAAAATGAAGACTACCATATCCTTTGGGTCATTTCCCCTTACAATATCTGTTACCACAATGGGGTATTAGGGGTTCTAGTAGCCCCTTAATCAGACCCCTTCTAGGGACAGTCACAGTGAGGGAGAATGACCCAACATATCCCTCTAAACACTAAACTGGCTGCTGACCCCAACTCTGACCCGAACATGGGGTAGGGACCCAAATGATGAGGTTTTGGTGATGCGGCGAGTTTTAGGCTTTTGGGTTTTAGCGCAACTGCACAGGAATTAACTATCCAAGAATACATAGCGAGATTCTTCAGGCTTCTACATTACGCTCCTCGCCCCAGCCATTCAACGCGTTCACTGCCTCTGAGAGAAAGCCCTCGGGCACATGCTTTGCTTGGGCACCTGGCAGCAGCTTTCCGTTTAGGATTTAGGGTGAAAGGTTAGGGTTTAGGGTGAAATGATATGGGAGCCCAGCCCCTACCCCTACAATGAGGACCCATCAGAATTTTCATATGATACCCATAGGGAAGTCATATTGCTATTCGGGGATTAGGGTTACTGATCTACTGCCATAAATAACTTCTACGCACCCCCATTTCGCATTGCGTTTTGAATGTTCTTTTCCAGTGGATTCTCCAGTAGTGCAGTAATGTCCCAAGACCCCACACGAGTCCTATACATCCCCTGAGTAGTTCATTCACGCGCCTCTAATAGACTGTTATATTTCCGCTCATCATACTTTTTGTGCATCTTAGGATGAGAGGGTTTCAGTTATTTACTCCATGTGTTATATACGGGTATCTAGGGGAATGGGAAAGGAAATGGTAGCCACCCTATTACTCAGGGTTCGGTGTAGTTCGCGGCTGAGAAGAACCCGCGGTACATGATCCCCTGCTAATAAACATTCCGCTTGATATATGACGGTACTCTATTCGGAGTGTTTTTGAGAAGGTTCCCACTATCTTTTCGAGATCATGTGTAGGTGCAAGTGCAGCTGAAAGTCAAAACGGACAAGCCTCAAGACTTGTAAGTCTGATCATGTGTCCAAACTTGAAAAGCCTAGCCCCTAAACCCTAAATCCTAAGCAAAGGGCCTATGCTGATGAGCTTGCTCCGAAGATTGTCATCGTTCTCGCCAAGCACCTGCCCGCAGCACGCTGATGCTCCCACGGCGAACAACAAACACGTCCTTGGAGTACTGCATGTATACATAAAACTGTATACATACATCATACATACATACATACATACATCCATGCATGCATGCATACATACATACATACATACATGCATATCAAAATATGTATATATCGGGAGGATACAGCTACAGGGGTGCGAGGGGTGATTTGTAGCGGGAGGGGATTAGTATTCTTGATGTGCTGAAGGCCTGGAGTTAGGGTCCTGAGCTTAAGGTTTAGGGTGTAGGGTTGACAGTTTATAGGCCTTGGCGTGTCGGGCTTCCTTACCAGCCATCATCTGCTTCCCACTGTCAAGGTTTAGGATTTAGGGTTTAGGGTTTAGGGGTTTAGATTTTAGGGTTAGGGATTTGGTTTAGGGGTTTAGGACCCCCCAACATCAGCAATATTCCTGCGAGGATGTGGCGGGCCTTTGTGAACTCGATGCCCTCGTCCACAAGCTCCTGGGAAGCTTGGACGATTTAGCATAACTCCCCGGTGCGTAGGAGGGAATGGGGGAATGGATCCCTATAGTAGTCCCTATATAATCCCCCATGGGAATCCATGATCCATTCCCCCCATTCCCCCCTAAGCACCAGGGAGATAAGTAAGTTAGGGGTCACAGAGGGAAGTGAAGGAACTATTTGGGCTTATCTACGGCATGTCAAAGGTTTAGGGACATCACCTCACCAATGGAGAATCAAATGGCGAAGTCAGAAACTGGGAAACAACAAGCCAACAATAACAACAAATGAGCAAGGTTATGATATAAGGTCGGGACTTGTGTAGACCATAGCAGAAGTTGTTTATACTACGACACCAGGCCAGATCCTCTGTACCCTGGCAAAAAGGCTAGTGTTTCTACAGAACCTACAACCACCCACCCACCCACCATCCACCTCTCCAAAAAAAACAGAAAAAAGTAAACAACGTGATACATTAACCTAACAAGCCTGAGCTAACCATCAGTTTCTCGGAATAAGCAGGCAAAATGCCAGCTAAATCTCTTCCCTCAACGCCGCAACCATTTTTCAAGAAGTGCCTCAATACTCTCATACGGCAGCATACCGAGCATAACTTAGTCCAATCGGAACTGAATCCTAAGCCAAAAGCCCTGAAACCGTGACCACTAAACCCAACCCTCCTGAAAACACCTTACCCCTGATCCGTCAACCCTGAACGCTGCAGTTGCAATAAATCCTCCATCCCAAAACCCTCGGAAACCTTAACGCCAAATCGTAACCCCTAAACCCTAAACCCCAAACCCTACACCCCTAAAGGCCCCTTTTGAGCCCCTTTGAAACCCTGGCGTTAAAACACAAACCGTAGTTTCCCCAAATAATGGGACCCCAAGATAGACCCCAAAATACTGTAGTCCTTATTACAGGGACCCCCAAAAGGGTACCCCTAATTTTGGGAAACCCTAATCTTTAATCCCTAAATAACCCCATATATCCCTATATAACCTTATATAACCCTATACCACTGTTAACCTTTTGAACCAGCCCCAGGTGCCTGGGCTTCCGCCCATCGCCCGAGCTTCACGTCCAGCAGCGCGGCGTTGTGGCAGGCCAAGGCCAGGTAATAGGCCTTCCACTTGGCTTGGGGCGGGCTTTAGGGTTTTGGGGGTTTGGGGTTTTGGTGTTTAGGGTGTGTAGGGTCGCGGTTTTATGGGGCTGCAAGGAAATGGAAAAATGGAAACTACCACTCAGGGTGTGGGGCTTCCACTTGGGGGGGGCGGGGTTGGGAAGGTGTAGGGCTTACGGTTTAAGAGTTGGGAGGAGGTTAGAAAAGGGGCTTCGGGTTTAGGGTTA